TGTAGCTTTGTGCCTTTCCTGGAGCTCACTCTGTAGACCAGGCTGGCCTCGAACTCACAGAGATTCGCCTGCCTCTGCCTCCTGAGTGCTGGAATTAAAGGTGTGCACCACCACCGCCCTGCAAGACCCTGTCTATAAGGAAAAAATAATGAAGAAAGATAGCACTGGCCATGCCTGGTGGTAGATGCCCATAATCCTAGCCTTCAGAAGGCAGAGGCAGGAGAATCACCACAGGGTTGAGGCCAGCCTGGTCTATATAGGGGTAGTCAAGCTAGTACAGGCTACAAAGTGAGGAAAAAGTCTTTGTGTCCTGCATCTGTCCATTTCTGAGAAATTCGGACAAGAGTCTAAAGCTGCCATGAGGAGCATTTGGGAACAACGAGAACGATGGAGTGACTGGGTCGCTGGGCTTCTGAACAAACCTAGAACTGCCCCATCTCTAGACTTCCTCTTAACTAAGCCACTGTGGGATACATTTTCTATTTGCAGGGATTTTAGCTTACCTGATAATAGGAGAAAGTCTCTTCAGTGTTTTCTAAAAGAAGACGCTGATCTGTGGCGTTCAAAGATTCAGAGAAGTAAAGGAGGAGGATGGTGTACCCAGTGGATCTGGCAATTAAATAGCCACTACTAATCTTGGTGAGAACAAGCTCAGAAGCACTATGCAGGCAGAAGCAATGTGCTTCTGGAATGGTGGTTGTCAGCTGGGAAGGAACTTTTGATCCAACTGAGTGACAGGGTTTATTCTAGGCAATGCCTTTTCCTTTCTCTCAATATTGAAAAAAAACTACTTGGGTCTGTGCTATCTACCTTAACTACATCTTAGAAGTCATGAAGAGAACTGTTTTGATTACTTTCTTGGTCACTTACCCCAGAATTAATGAAGACAAGTTTTGAACACTTAATTGATTTCGTGAAGGCCAAATCTACTATGAATGCTGGGGGTGAGAAGATATTTTGGTGAACCAGTCCCAGAGAAAATGACAGTTTGATGGAATAGGAGTCTGGGAAAAAGGCATGCCTATGAGATTTAAGTAGAAGGTTGAAAATACAAGGAATCAAAAGAAGGGGAACTGGAGAATAGTGTTCATTGCATAATGTGAATGCACTGAATGCCACTTTACTGTACACTTTAAAATAGCTAGCTAATTGCATGTCATTTCAATTTCACCTCAGTAATAAAAGGAGGGGCAGTGGTGGCCCACACCTTTAATTCCAGCACTTGGGAGGTAGAGGCAGGTGGATTTTCATGAGTTCGAGGCCAGCCTGGTCTACATAGTGAGTTCCAAGACAGCCAGGGCCACAAAGAGAAACCCTGTCTCAAAAAACAAAACAATAGATAGGTAGGTAGGTAGATAGATAGATAGATAGATAGATAGATAGATAGATAGATAGATAGATGATTGATAGATAAAATGGGGGATAAGGAGGCTTTCAGAATTTGAGTGTGCATGAGATTTGCCTCTGGTTTTCTTAATTTTCAGAAGTCAAACCAGAGAGTAGTCCAGGGGAGAGTGAAGTCTTAAATTCTTAATCCACGTTCACTATGTAGACCCTCCTCCTAATGACTTCTAAATTCCTTACAAAAGCACTACCCTCTCCCTTCTGTCATATGCCAGCCCTTAACCAAACCAAGGCCACCACTGTTCTCTCCTTCCCTTGGTCATCACGTTCACTGTTCCATTTCTGCCGGTTCTGCGGTGTCCCACCTTTGCTTTGGCCAACTGTCACGAAGCGTTAGTACCTGCCTTCCATCTCTTTCCTTACCATAACTCCAAGCAACACCCCAAACCAAAATTAACGTTCCGGGAAGGCACACAGAGACCCACCAGGGAGAGGACATGGAATCAGAACAAGGACTAGAAATTTAGTGCTTCAATATTATTTCCTCTACATCATTTTATGCTTCCTACAGCCTCAGAAAGCAAAAAGGCCCTCCTGAAAGGGTCCCTTCTGTAGCACAATTCTGACACATGGTTGATATGTTTTGCTGAGTAAATCACCAAGTGCTTATTCACAGTGCCCAAGCTAATAAAACATAGTTGCTGAGCAGTGGCGCACGCCTTTAGTCCTAGCACTTGGAAGGCAGAAGCAGACAGATGTCTGTGAGTTCAAGGCCAGCCTGATTTACAAAGTGAGTTCCAGGACAGCCAAGAACACAGAGAACCCTAACTTAGAAAACCTAAGCCTCAAAATAAGGAATTTCCATTGACAACTGAAAATTTAACTTTTTTTTTCTTTACTATTATTTTTGAAAGTTACTTTGAAAGGTAGGGAGACTGTCAGTTTCAGGCTTACCTGAGTTAAAAGATAGTTCCAGGTCAGTCTGGGCTACATAGGGAAACCCTGTCCTGAGAAGTGGAGGGGAGGAGAGGAAGATGAGAAGTTCCTTTTAAAGGTGTCTTGCATCTACAACTACTACCACTGTTCATTTCCAATGATATCCACTGTGAAATCAGAAATCTGAGAGATGTGAACCACAAATTCTTCAAAACTGTAACTGGGGGCCAGTGAGATGGCTCCATGGGTGAAGTGCCTGGTACACAAACATGGTGAACCCAAGTTCAGCTCCCCAGCACCCTGCCAAGAAGCGGACTGGTTGGGATCATTGCTTCGTGCCATGCCGTGGGCCGCAGGAGCGGGTGGGCCTCCGTGGGGAGCCAGCGTGGACCGTGTAGGGGGACCGGATCCCCCGCCCCTGACTGGCTGCTTCTGTCTTCTGAGTGCTGGGATTAAAAGCACACATTCACCATACCCAGTTTTGGCCAGTGTTATTTTTTTAGACAAAAAGAATTTTCTCCAGGAGACTATCCTGGCTAGAGCTGGGTCTTAATACCCACATCCAGATCTTGCACTGACAAAGACAAAGAGGATTCCCAGAGGTGGCATTTACTAGCCTGCTCTCTGAGCTGGATGGCAGATTTGTCTCCTTAAAATCAAAGGATCTTCTTCTACCTTACAGTGCTGGGATTATATTGCTAGGAAAGGGCTTTTGGTTAAGAGGCTGGATTTTTTTTTTTCCTTTTAAAGTCATATCTCTTTTTCTCCTGAGGATATGGCTCGATTATATCTCTTAGCACATCCTTGCATCAGCAACATCCATATCCTAGAGTTCCCATCACTGAAGGTGTGCAGAATAGATTTATATGTTTATTGCACACAGGCCTGGCATACACAATCTTCCCACACTGGGCTGGAGCAATGGTTTAGAGGTTAAAAGCACTGCTGCTCTCGCAGAATACTAGGGTTCGGGCTCCAGCACTCACATGGTGGCTCACAACCATTTGTAACAGCAGTTTCAGGAGATCAAATACCATGTTCTGACCTCTGAGGCCATGTGGTGCACACATATACACCCAGGAAAAAAGCATAGGCATAAAAGCAAATTTTGTGTGTGTGTGTGTGTTGGGGGCAGGAGACAGGATCTCACTGTGTAGCTCTGGCTGTCCTGGAACTCACTCTGTAGCCCAGGCTGGCCTCAACTCACAGAGATCCACCTGCTTCTGCCTCCTGAGTGCTGAGACTAAAGGCGTGTGTCACTACACTTAGACCCAAATAAATAAATCTTTCTTAAAAAATTTAAATCCTTACACAATCTACAGTCTTCTTTTCCTTTTTTGTGGTCAGATAAAGGGTTAGGTGGAGAAGTGAAAGGCTCTAAAAACAACAGAGCTACAGAATCTGCTTGAAAGGAACCTGAATCTCTTAATGACGTCATGGAGCATAATGACTCTCACACCCCAGCTCCCCAATGGATTAAATAAAACGATAATCTTAAGCAACCACGATTTTTAGTTTGAGACTAGATCTCACTGGGTAACTCTAGCTAACTTGGGACTCTATGTCCATCAGGCTGGCCTCAAATTCAGAGATTATCTTGTCTCTGCCTTCCGGGAAAGCGGCTTTTAAAAAATTATTCAGACAGGGTCTCATGTAGTCCAGGCTGGCCTTGAACTCCTGATCTTCCCGCCTCTGCTTCCCAAGGGCTGGGATTGCAGGCCTGTGCCATCAGGTCTGGCTGCAAGTGACCTCAGGCTCTACTCTGCCATCCCAACTTCTAATAGCCCCATCTCTTTATTCCTCCTCTGATTAAGCCTCTAACAGCTCTTCATTAATTTCCAAAACCTGAGTCTGCCTGTTTGACTAAGCTGGTATCCAGCTGGGGGAGCTGAACCGCAAGCTAGTGCCTATAGTCTGTGCCGTTTCATCTGGCAGTGTCTGGCACACAGGATCTACCCTATAGAGAGTTGTTGAATGGATAACAGACTGCACTAAACTTTGAAGCTTTGTTGACTAAAACATGCTCAGAGATGAGCTTCTCTGACTCCATTATTCAAGTCATGTATATTTGTATTCATTTTTCCTCACTAGATTGAAAACTCTGGGAGGGAAAAGCCTGTATCTTACTCACCTTTCATCTGAACCAGTGTCTTGGGAGTGTCTGGCATGAAACCGTTTGTTGGATGAATGAGCAAATGACATTAGCAAGGAAAAAATACTAGACTTTTAAAAGTTCCCCAAAGATCATAAAACAAACAAACAAACAAAACAAAAAAATCTTCTAAGATGGGCTGTAGTGGCATAGGCCTTTAATCCCAGCACAGCAGATCTCTGTGAGTTCAAGGCCAGCCTGGTTTACAGAGTTCCAGCCTGGTTTACAGAGAATCTCTGCCTTGAAAAAAACCAAAACTAAAACCAAACAAAAGTTCCCTGAAGAATGAGACAGACTGAGGAAAAAGGAGTTAAGAACAATGGAAATACAGACTCCCCCCCACCCCCACCCCCTAGACGGGGTTTCACTGTGTAGCTTTGCACCTTTCCTGGAACTCACTCTATAGCCCAGGCTGGCCTCGAACTCAGAGATCCGGGAGTGCTGGGATTAAAGGCCTGTGCCACCACCACCCAGCGAGACTAATTATTGTAACAAAGGTACAAGGAAGCAGGCAGTTGATGGCACCAAGTTAGAATTCAGGAGTCAGTCAGAGAAGGCGCTCCACTGGTAAAATTTGAGACATTTTAAACACAAAAGGGACATAACATAAATTAGGAACCAGTCATAGAGTTCTGGCGAAGTAAGGCAAAATAGGCAATTCGTGGTTAGATCCTGCTAAAAAGCAGGATCTGTTCAACTCCAGGCCTCGAGTTTCTGCCTTTTTCTTGGCTCACTAAGCAGGCTTGCTCATTCATTCTTGTCTTGATATTTCCAGGGCCAGGCCAATGTGAGGACTTTATGTTCTCTAAACAGTCAAGAAGGAAGTTTCTGTGAAAATAAGCAAACAAACCTGTCCTGTGGGACTGAATGCTTTTGCTAATCCTGGCTCTCCAGGGAAATGAACTTCCCTGTTCCAGTGTTAAGAAGAGAAACTCAAAGACTTTCCTTAAAAGGTATTATAGGATAGTCTAGAAAAAAATCTGTGAGGTGAAGATCCAAAGAAATCAAGGTTGTATAATGAGTGAGGTCTGCGAAATATAACGGATAGGAAGACTTCCTCGGTCTGCTCCCCTCGTCAGAAAGCACATGTGCATATCCATGGGGGTAGACAGTCTCTTCGTGGATTCAGGCAGTTGCTGACTTTAGTACCTGTGAGATGGAACACATGAGGTCCGCCCCCCCCCCCCAAAAAAAAAAAAATCAGGGCCCCACTTTGTAGACCAAGCCGGCCTTGAACTCACAGAGATCCGGAGATCCATCTGCTTCCGCCTCCTGAGTCCTGGGAATAAAGGCGTGCACCATCACACCCTACTCTCATAAATACTAGTCTTTAAAAATGTTCCCCATTTTAGGACATTTCAGGGCCTCACTTTGTAGACCAAGCTGGCCTTGAACTCACGGAGATCCGGAGATCCCTCTGCTTCTGCCTCCTGAGTCCTGGGAATAAAGGCGTGCACCATCACACCCTACTCTCATAAATACTAGTCTTTAAAAATGTTCCCCGTTTTAGGAGTCAACATTTTACACAGCAGAAGGCATATCTGAAGTCCTGCAGAATCTCTTGAGGCTGAGTTAGCAACTGTCTACTAAGATAACCTAGTGTGCAGGGTCTATTTTCTTAGAACATTGTGCCAAGAGCGCTGTTTCCCGAGTCCTCTGCCTTTCGACCTTCTGTGGAGGTAAGACAATTTTTGTTTGGGGGATGCATTGCGGAGCCGAATTCGGAGTAGTTGTTTTCTTATTTCCTAACACACCGCAATGGGAGCGCTCCAGTATAGGGAGGCGTTCAAACCCCTTACGCTGCTATGAAATGCTCCAGGCGGCCGCGAACAATTGAAGCCTAAAGTGCGATAATTCTTGGTCCTCGGGGGGACTTCTCAGGTAGTCAGTGTCTCCCCTCGCTGCCCAATCGTTGGGGTGCGGGTGTGTGTGTGTGTGTGTATGTGTGTGTGTGTAGGGGGAATCACACTGGTTTGGGGTGATGTCACACTGGCTGAGATGACATCTAGCAGCGGGAAACCCGACAGCCGCCAGACGCCGGTAAACCACCTCGGAGACTGCTGAGCGGGGGGGGGGGTCGGGAGCGGGGGATCCGGTTCCCCCGACACGGTCCACGCTGGCTCCCCACGGAGGCCCACCCGCTCCTGCGGCCCACGGCACGAAGCAATGATCGCAACCGGTCGGCTCCTCCGCACTTCCGCCTCAGTAGGTGTCATGGCGCTAGGTGGCGGAATGGTTCCGGCGAGGCGGGGCCGGCCGGATGAGGGCGGTCGCTCGGGGCTCCACTTGTCGAGTCTGGCGACAACGGCAGCTGCGGAGCGAAGGGCCGGGCCGTGGCCCCGGACGGCAGCGGGAGGCCGAGGCGGG